CCAAAGACTAAAGAAAGTGGTTCCAAACTGCTAATGGAAAATAAATCCAGTGAACATACTTGGCTTAGGATTTAATATAGTCATAACTACTTCTGGGGTAGCACATCCAAACTCTACTCAGGCAGGTTTGCAGTAGAGAATAAAGACCTGGGTATTGTAATTTTTCTGATGCCATTTGGTTCTGGTTTAAAGGCAAGTAAACCAACTACGGGACCTGTTCTTTTATCAAATAAATGAGAGTAAAGATAGAGTCTATGTAGAGAATTACAAATAATGAATTTAAAATCACACTTCAGAGACCATCACATTCCAGAAAAGGTTCTCACCAGTCTTTAGAAAATACTAAATACACCAAAAGGATTAAATATAAATTTTGAAACAGATACTAATGTTTAAATAGCTCAAAAAATTTAAGGCTTCTATCTCACAAAGTATCTGAACATCACAACATGCCATGTTTCTACTTGTGACAGAACCAGTGGGAAAATAGTTTTTCCAAGGCATGGGTATTTTAAGAAATACATTATCTCAGAACACAGGTCCAAATCAAATACTAAAAAATATGTCGATTTTAAAAGATAATAGATTTAACTTGCTGAGCCAAAACAGTTAACCAGAAGAGACAAAAGCATTCTGGAGCAGGGGGAAACATCATTGCAAAGCAATTCAGTGCTTGCAGTGCATTTAGGATATATGAACATTATTAAAGTTCTTTTTTTAATACAAGTTTTTATCATATGGTTCTTAAATATCAAATATGATCTTTTGTGTGCATTACTTTTTTCTTAGATGAAAACCCTCATTTCATTTCCTTACTAAATTTCCTGTCACTGATTACTTAGTTAACCTGCTATTGACACAGCAGACAGAAGCCATGTATCATTGCAAAAGGGTTCCTAAGAACTGTCCCAGCTTTATTTTTCAAAAATATCAAGGTTTCCCTATACATAAATAACAGTTCAGTTTCAAAAAAAAACAAATAAAAAACACCAAACAAAACAAAATAAAAAAAAATAAAATAATAAAATAACTTTTGAAATGGCTTCAAGCAGCAATCTTAAATTTGTAGTATTTCCTGTACAGCCAAATGCAGCCAAGTTTGTTATTTAGTCAAGTGAACTCAACCAAAGTTTGAAAGAAAGGTCATATGTAAAATCTCCATTGAATTAAATGATACATGTTTGCCAGGAATCAATCCTTTCCCAGTGGGATATTTAAAGAGCTGGAAGATTTACTTTCTTTGCAAAAATATTCATAATTCATTGCTAACAATGAACTTTAAAACAAATGTTTTCCACCCATTAGACAATTTTAGAAGTAAAGGCTTATGCCAGAAGAAGTGCTATTACTTCTTTAGGTAAGTTCTAATCAATTCATTAAGACCAAATTTGGTATAGGAATATAGTTGGTGTATATATATAGTCTTTAGTCATAAACTGTATACAAGATTGCTTGAACTTGGAAGTGACAACTAAACATTGGCCCAGGGCTTTTCCCAGTTAGGTTTTGAATAGCTACAAGAGTGGAAAATCCACAGTGCCTCTGGGAAAATATTCAGGTGTTTTACCACCACCACATTTTAAATGCTTTTTCTTATGTTTGATTTTGTACCCTTTGCATCATGTACTTTCAGTGAGCACGACTAGAGGAGTTTGGCCCTCTTTTTTAACACTGCCCCTTAGATAAGCATCGGTGATAAGCAACGTTCCCCTGAGCCTTCTCTTCCCTAAGCTGAAAAACCCCAACTCTCAGTCTCTCTTCCAATCAGAGGTAAGCCATGAGAAAAGTTTGTTTCTCAGAGTATATATTTAGGAAAGAGCCAAATACACCAGAGGGAGGAGGCCATACACACACACACACACACACACACACACACACACACACTAGTGAGAAGTAAAAAAGGCAACATTGAGTTTAGAGGAGAAGGCAGTGCATGAAGGAGTAGATACTCTCTGCAGCCTGTGGAGAACACAGGCCAAGGAAGCAAGTAGGAACAGCAGAGAGTAACTGCTACATACTAACTGCAAGGTCAACCCACCACCCTAACCTCAAATAATACCAATTATCAAGGAAATTGTATTAAAACACTTTATATCTTCATATAATTGAAATAAGAATCTCCCACATTTCTAGATCAGAGATGCTTGTGATAGGAGAATGGTATAGAACTACTCTAACATGGATGTGCTTCAGCTGAAGTGGATATTGAATATTCCCTTTACAATACAACTAAATATCTTCTGGTGCACAAATACATTTGAAACAGTTATTGTTACTTTAGACAGCATATTCCTCTCCAGAACAAGAGGTTTCTTGGACAAATTGTAAACTTCATGACAACTTATTCAAATCATTTCAATCAGTTAAACTCGGTCACAGATGTGAGCAGTTACAGTGTTATCACAATTAGCAGAAAAACGCTCCAGCTTTTAGCAGGGTGCACGGAGAGGGTGATGAAATTAGGAGGATCCTTGCAGTTTATGATGGAAGAGATACAAAACAGTCACTGAAAAATACATGCTTCTATAGAGAAAAAAATACTAAGTGAAGAATGAAGAAACACTGAGTGAATGGCAAAAGTCCAGCTTCACACCACCTTCATGAGAATAGACAAAACTGTAGATACTCAACCGTGGATACTTACCATTCTCAATGGACCTTGGCAGAGTTGCTTCTACAATACTCACTCCTTTCAGAAAACTAATCTCCCTAAACAAGGTTTCAGACCATAAATTGGCCTGAATCAAACTCAAATTCATGTGAATAAATTTAAAAAGGTCAACAAAAGTAGACAGGAGAGACAACTGAAATAATGCTGTAGTAACTGTAAGCAACCTAATTCTTATGTTCTTCTTTAAAAATCTTCTCGGTCTTTGCACTGTTTTTCCTTGCTTTCATTTCTATTTGCTTTCCTTTTAGTAAATGTAATGGAGTTTAAAGTAAATAGCTGAGTAACTCAGCTTATAAATGGGGTAGAACTTCAGTAAAGCTGTTCTACCTCTGCCTCTGACAGTCAAACAGAAAATATTCTGATTGCAGCTGCAGTGTAAGATTAAAAGTATGTGTTTATAACAAATAAAACCTTACTTAAATGCCTCACAGATGAGACAGACAATTTTGTTCACTTAGTTCTAGCAAAAGAAAAAAATATAAAAGAGAAAAAAGTACATGAACCTAAATAGGAACATTTTGCTAATTTTTGTTTCTTTGTTCCAATAATTATATTGCTATGTTAGTTAACTCACTTGAATAAATTCTGAGGGTAGTGACTGAGGGAATTGCCATCTCTTTATTGTCTTAATGAGAATGAAAGATCTAATTCCACACACACTGAGCCTGAAATTGCATCAGCTATCTCTGAAACATTATGATGAGCTAATCATCACAGATGATTATTATTCTTAGAAACAACAGTTGTAATACAATAAGATTTTTAGTAAACCAACAGGTGGAGATAATAAAGGTACAATAGCTGAAGTTAAGTTCTTAATACATGAGCTTTACTCCCAGTGTTGTATCCTTAGAATGACTTTGCTGCCTGCTATTTACTTTGGCCCATAAAAGACAAGATACAAAAAACAAAAAGCTGTTTGTTTTTAAAACAAAAATGTTTTAAAATTTTTCTGGTGAAAAAAAATATTCAGAAAAGCTTAGTAACCATTGCATTTCTGGAGAATTTTTTGCATTCTTTTTCTTTGCGTGTTCTACAGCAGACATAGCCATCAGATTCTTTCCAGACACTAAGCATTTTTAAGCATGTTTTTGGTTTACATATTTGAAAATTAGCACTGTTATTGACATTTATAATTGAGCCCAGATAATTCCAGCTTTGAATATGACCACAAACAACATTTGTAAATTAGATCCATTAAAATACATTTCCTTCCAAAGCCTTCAGAAAAAGGGCACTGAAGGATATAGAGAATCTCAAAATTTTTTCCCCAGACCTTTGAGATCTTTCAGTATATCTTATTTATGTCACGTCCTGCCTTTCACTTCTTTGTCACTTTGCGTCTATGATTTGGTCAGAAGATATTCAGTCTGCCTCAGTGATTCAAAAGAAAATGTTTCACAATATCATTAATCTTAATGGATTATCTTAATGGATTCAGCACTGAGAAAGCAGGTACTATACCAGTAGAAGTTATTTTGGGGCATATAATATAAAAACACAAAACTAGTGAACAGTTTTTAGATGTCTGATCAAGGCATTGGTGGAAAAGACCAAAGAGGAGATGTTAGCTCCATATTCTGCAACAATAGCCAAAAGTATAATGAAAATAAATAAAAACATTGGTCAAAAATGTAAGGAGTAAAAACAGGCTAACTTCAGAGACTTCGAATCTTAATTATACTACTGGGATCTGGATGAAGAATTCAATCTGAGAATTGTAGACTATGCTTTAAATTTTTTTTTTTTTTGGTCCTTTCCTAATATGTACATTTGATACAGATTTTCTCATAACAAACCTTTTCTTCATTCTCATCTCACAAACATGTCCATCTTATCCATAGCACACCAGGAATCAAGTTCAGATGGCTTTGCTAAAAAAACCCCAAGCGGAATTAAATCTTTATCCCATTTTTTTTTTTTTTTTGGTGTGTGGTAAAAAATCAGGTTTCACATCTCGCAGGTATTGCTAGGAAACAAAAGAATTAATAATGTTTTGATACATAAATATTCAATTTCATAACAACCATTTATGGAAACTGTATTAAAATGTGCCTAATTCAGGCTAGACAGGCAACCGTGATTTATTGATGCAATATAACTTTTGTGATACAAAGTTCATTTTATATACCTATATAGGAGATGCCCGTGATTGCTGTCAGAGAACTTTGAGGCAAAATACTGAAAAGTCTAGGTTTCCCCAATACTCAGCCATAAGAACAATCTCCAATACAGAAATGCAAAAACTCAAATAAAGCTGAGAGTAAGTTCCTAAAGGACAGGCTTGTGAATTATATCCCAGTATTTTGAGGCAGGGTAAAAGTCTTACCTCGGCAGTTGGGTAAAGGGCTACTCCACTGCCCATTGCTTCGGCACTGTGCTCGAGAAGCACCCTGAAGTAAGTAGCCAGTGTTGCAGGTAAAATTTACCACATCGTTTAAATTGAACTCACTGCCGTTAGTCATTCCATGAGCAGGATTCCCAGGATGGCCACATGTGATTGCTGTTAGAAGAAAAATAGGCAGGTTAGCATCTAAGTGAAAGGTCCATGGAACCACTTGCAGATTGGAGCTCTTTTGCCATTTTGTTTTTTGACTTTGTTTTCCTTTTTCCCCTCCTGAATTTGTCTTTGACAGTTATACAAGACATATAAGAAAAAGAATAGGATATATTTATTGAGAACTCTTAACTTCCAGGAGAAAAATATTATTTTTTAAATAAAACTCTTAGAACCTACTTTTTACCTTATGCTGAAGGCTGTAAAAAAAATAACTAACTAACTAAATGTATTTTCACGCACATCTGATCCTTTAAAAATGCATTTAAAAATTCCTACTAATATAAATAAAGGTAGATATTTTTTTCCAGTAAGCTTAAACATGGAGTAGAGCCAAACAAATTTCATGCAGTATTTCAGAACATTGTGGAGTTCTGACGAATTGCAGTTTAAAAAACCTTATATTGATTTGCTGAGCTAGTGATTCTTTTAATCTGATTTTTGTATGACTATAAAGAATTAATTTCTGGGAGTAAATCTTTCCCTTTATGTATTATGTGTGTTGATTTTGCTAAAATGTAACTTATAAAATAAGCATATTATGGTCAAGCTCTAGTTTTGCATGTGATGGGATACTAAAATATTATAGAAAAACAAAAGCATAGATGCGAACAATGTAAAATCAGAATGTGCATATACACACATGCACAAACACAGAACTTCTCAACTCTGTGCTAGTGGTGTTCATCATACTCAAATGAACAACCTATACAGGGGTTTATTTTTTCTTTTGATTCTGTTGTGCTGCTACTCACAAGGAACAAGGAAGCAGAAATCATCTTACTTCCTATTAACTCTCAATAAGCAGCAAGTGGAAAGATCTTTCAGAAAATACTTGGCTAAAGTGTGGTTCAACTGGTTATGCAGTAAAGAGATTGGGAATGACCTGTGTGTGACAAATTTTGCAAGATGAAGGAGGCTGACTTTTATATGAAACTAAGAATCTTAAGTAGTCCTGGGTGGAGAGCTACAAGTGCTTCCTTAGGTGTAATTTTTTAAGATTACAATGCCTGGTACTTCACAAATCTAAAAAACCCTTCAAAGTAAATTAAAAATGTAAAAAGATGTGATCTTCTGTAAAAATCTCACAAAATAAAGGCCGATTTGGGACAATTTCAGGGGCACAGCCCCTAATAGCTTTGTAATATCTCTGCCATTGTATTGGATCTACCTGAGATGGATATCTTATAGTGCTGTGCTTTGTATGGTTACCTAGAAAGATGTTAACACCCCAGTGTTTTGCTACTGCTGAGCAGCACTTCACAGCACCCCTGCTGTCTCCCCAACATTCCTCCTTCTCACCAGCAGGCTGCGAGTGGTCACAACCTTGCAAGGGGATATGACCAGGGCAGCTGACCAAAGGGATGTCCCATACCATATGATGTTTGCTCAGATATAAGAGCTAAAAGGAAGGAGGAGGAAGGGGCAAGGCAGGGTGGCAGTGTGGAAGGAGGGGAGGCATCATACATTATTTATATGTATGCTTTGGAGCTACCAGTACACATGCTGAAGCCTTCTTTCCTGGGAAGTGGCCAGACATTCCTTGTTCATGGGAAGCAGAAAATGAAAATCTTTATTTTCTTTGCTTGCATGTGCAACCATTTCCTTTTGTTTTAGTAAGCTGTCATCTTATTTCCTTCCCCCGCCTTTCTGAGGAGGGGAGTGAGTAGTTCAGTTGCCACCTGGCATCCAGCCAAGGTCAACCCACCACAGCCATTATTTCTAGTTCAGGCTCCACAATGCTCAGTCAGAAGAATATTTCAGTAGAACATATTTCTAGCACTGGTGAACAGTTTGTTTTCACTTCACATCTCAGAAATAAGAGTCTCATTTGTATGGGAATTTCTTAAATTAATCAAAGGAAAAAAAAAAATACCCTGAAGTTTGGATGCTGACATAAACCAAATAATCTTGTATGGCTTTTTAGTCTGGCAGAGTTCTAAACAAAAGAAAACTATATCATAACGGAAAGCATTAGGCAAACTCTAATAACAGAAACTGATGCCAGTTCTTCTCATAACAGTAAGGATAACATACATTTAGGAAGAAGCAGCCTCCTTCCCCTCCTGTGCCCACCCAGCTTTGCCCCTTTCTTTTGAAAGGATTTTATTCACTGCACAGTCAAATGAATGCACTAATACTAACAATGCTAGTTGTGACGTTTCCCCTTTGAAGAATATAAATCACTTGAAGACATAAATAGGATTTTAAAAGGACAATGACACTTGGCAGATATTTCCTGCCACTGTATACATGTAAAAATTGTCATTTTCCCCTAAGAAAGAAAATACTGAACATTTAGAAATGTAGTATGTATTGAACAGAAATTGTATTGAACAGAAAATGTAACTCTGAACAGCAACAGTAACTTTCTGTGTATACAAGACTTCTGTCTGTATTGCAGACATCGTAAAAAATGCAACACTGAAATAGTTGATATAAATTCTCCATTAAAAATCACAAAAAATATGTATAAAATGGGGCTCTTTAATAAAACTGATATGGAAAGGAAATAAAATCAACTGCAAAGTAAAGTAGCAAAATAAAAAACAGATAAATTGGACTTGACTGATTAAATGGCTGATGGTTCAGAAAATGTCCGATAATCTGCCCCACAGAGAAGGAAAGACTCTACAATTCTAGCATTTAATGATGGGATTTTCAAAAACAGGTTAATTAAGAAAATATTAAAGGTTATAGAAAATATATAATATTTAATATATATATAATATATAATTCTATGCCACCCCTTGCCTTGGTAAATCAATTTGAGGGCGATTTGCAGAAACAGGCAGTTACCATTAGAACTGCACAGATGTACACTAGTCCAGCATTGTCCTCCAAGCAATGAAAACATACAAAGAAATTCTTTACTATTTCACTACTAGTGAAAAAATAGGGGAGAGGCTCAGCAAGCCCATACTTGCCATAACAACTATGCCTGGACAAAGAGAAAGTGATAGATTAAGTTAGACATTTGCAGCCTGCTATTCAAACCCCTTCAGTGTCTTTGCCATCTTGTTTCTGAAACAACAGAAACCAGGAGTTACTGAAAATGTTAAGAAGCCCATAGTAGATTAGAAACTGGATCATAACAACCCCTGTAATTGACAATAGGTTCAATAAATTTCTGACCTGAGCCCAAACACTTTTGACCATCCAATCTGCTGTTAATATAGTAGCAACAATTCAGTGAAGAATTAATTGTACTTACGGACACAAACAGGAGTTTGTCCAGACCACTTGTGGTCCTGTAGGCAAATTCTGACAGATGTACCAACAAGTCGAAAGCCAGGATTACACTGGTAGACTACAGTGTCGCGATAACTGAAACCATCTCCACTAATATGACCATTTACAACTGGGTCTGGAGAGCCACAGTGACCAGCTATAATAAAAGCATAACCCATTAAAAATGCGTGTTTTGAAAAGACTCACCAAAATTTATGAGTAAAAAACCAAAATTTCAACTTTCCCTTCAATAAGAAATACATTTAGAGTCAACTTCTGCATTGTGCAGAACAATTTCTCAGGTGTAAAATGAACAGATGATGTTTCTTCTATTTCTTTGAAAAAGAAAATAATGAAATGGAGAAATGAGAAATTTATTATGAAGTAATAGTAAGGGTTTGAGAGTTAAAGGCTACACTTCTGTGACAAAAAAGTCAGCCTCACTAAGGCACTTCACCAAAATGAAAATTTGGAAATTAGGGTATAAAAAGTAGAAGTATGGTATTTTTGTTAGTACTGACCAAGTTGCAGAGCAATATAAAGAAAAGCTTACTATAATTTTGAAATGAATATGAATGTATAAGCATTTTCCAGATAGAAGGTATGAACAGGAAGGAATGTCTGCCAGCACTGTTTCCTTCTTATTTCAGCTGCTGTTAAAACATTACAGAATCCATTATTCCGGGATAATAGCAGTCTTGGCAGTGAGGAAGCCAAGTAATGATTTAATTAATTCTGGATTCTTCATTCTGCTTGAAAACAGAGTTGCTGAGCAAAAAACTATTTCTCTTTACTGATTAAGGAGCAGAAAAAAGGGGTTTTTTTGTGGTGACATTGATTAATTACAACTGCAGTAATTTCATCTGAAATTGTGTTAAGTCCTCAGATTTTGAGAGGTGAGGACTGGGACCTAAGGCTCAAGACTGCAGCTACAATGGGTTGTGTGTATGATTGCTTCTCTTGCACACAGCCTGTATCCATCAACAGCAACTTGTTTGTAACTTTTCTTCGAGATTCAATCTCCTTTCTAATAAAGCCCCTTTATTATGCTAGACATTATATTTCATTCACATCTAATGGCTCCTCTAAAACGCTAGAAGGATAAAACTTACACCACTTGATTAGGTTTTTCATACACACAAGATTATTATAAAATCCTAATTGTAGGATTGCTGATGCCTCTAAAAAGACATTGTGGTATTATTCTGCAAATTTGAAGAAGAAAGTATGAATGCAAGCTTTTCACTAGTTATACAGCTACTGTTCCCCTTACAACAGAGAATATGGCAACTGAGGACATTGAAAGTATATTTTTCTCCTTGAAAGGTGTCGTGGAATAATTTATCTTATTGTTCTCCATCCAAATTAGTAATATGATCCCTTTTACCCTTCTCTGTCCTCCAGCTTCACTCAGCCTCTCCTTCAAAAGATACTCCAGACCCTGGCCCCTTAATGGGTCCTTACCCTGAACTTGCTTCATTTTGTAATATCTCTCTTGTATAGAGGAGGACACAAAAACTACACACAATTTTCCACATGAGTGCTGAAGAGGAAATAATAACCATGACCTGCTGACTACATTGGTGCTCATACACTACAGTCTGTGATATTTTTACTGCAAGGCCACACTTTTATCTTTCAGCCAGCCTCTCCACTCAGTCACCTGGGTGCTTTCTGTAAAACTTGTTTTTACCCAGTCTGTTCCAAGAGTACTCAAAATGGCATTATTCTACATTTGTCTTTCCTGAACTTTATAAGCTTTCAGCTGGCCTGTTCCTCCAGATTCTAAAGGTCCCTCTGTCTAGCAGTACTACAATCCACACATCAGTTGTTCTCCCATCATTTCATGCCACCTCAAACTTGCTGCAGCTGCATCCTGGTTTGTTATCCAAGTGACCAACAGAGGCTGGATGGTATTGGCCTTTGTATTCATCCTTATTATCATTGGCTCTTAGTCACACTTCAAATGAAGAAACAATACCCTTAGAGTTTGCTGACTCAGTTAATTTCTATCTATTTTGTAGTCCCCCCATCCAGTCTCTAGCTTCTCAATTTGGCTACAAGGATACAGAGGGACACTGTTTCAAAAGTTTTGCTACACCACAGACTGAAAGCAGTCTACTGCTGAAATCTACATCTCATGAGACAGTCACTGGAAAAGGCAGTAAAATTATCAAGTTTTGCTTTTGATCCTTTCATCCTGACCGTTCCCAATTAGCTTCTTATTTTCCCTGTGCCTGGAAATAAGTTCCTGATATTTTCTCCCTATTTTTTTTTTTTTTCAAGGGAGTGAGATGAAATAGAAAGGAATACATTAGGGTTTGTTTTTTTTTTCATTTTCTAGATCTTAATAGTGAAGAATTGAAAAGCAGTAGCTGCACAGAAGACAAACACAGGACCACAGGGAATTTCAAGACGAGAGATAGATGAAATGTGCCACCTGGCATGAAGAAAAATATCATGCACTTTCTCTTAAATGGGGATTTAACAAGTAACTGGACTTATTACGTGTGTCATTTCATTTACAGATAATTCCACCTACAGTATTTAATGATTTTTCAGTGAATTTTGACTCATTTACATTAAGTATTCCAACATATCAAGGACTGAAAGAAAACTGCAACGACACAAAATATATGTAATTTTCTCATCAACTAAAATTAAAGGAAATTAAGAAGGCTGCAAGGGGAATTTTTTAGTAAAATATGCCCTCAAGAATTTAGAAAATTGTTCATTTGGATCAAGGTTGGTCTAGAAGTTTTATACTACATCACCTGGAAAGCAAAATACAAATAATTCTATTTTATTTTAACAAGAATTTCAAATATAAGCCAATATCATAATATTATACTTCAATTTATCTATGAAGTATCAAGTAAAGGATTAGATATCAATTAGGATTAGATTTTACACAACCACAGTCTGCAGTAGCATATTTTTATACTGATAAATTTAAGGCATTATATATATCATAAAATTAAAAGATGGGATGGAGTAAATTATATTTAAGTTTAGAGTTTAAGTATGTCCTGTACTTGTTTATGTGTAGTTTAGCACCTGAAAGGTGAAAAAACACAGGGAAAAATATATTTTCAGGAAAACACACTGGTCCATAATTAAGTGCCACAGATTTTGTAAATGGACTTTGGCAAATTTAAATGCTTCCAATTTGCCCTATGTCCTAGATGAACCTATGGTCAACCATACACACAAATCATTCAAAAAAAACATAGGTTTTGTGACTTATAGTTGCAAATATTCTTGGAAGGAACAAAGGGAAAGAGACATATTATCAATGGTGGAAGTAAGTGAAATTGAAAGAAAACTTGCCCAACAATTCATATTTATGTTTGCATAACTAATAAAAAAAATACAGGTAATTCTAACAAACTGAAGACTTAGTCTTATATTGAGCCTTAGACTTATTAACTTAAGTCCTTGATTTTAGCTTTCTTTGGAGACAAATAAGGAATTGGCAAACCCTTTCCTAAGATACAGAAATTAGTGTACTCATGTAACCTGAAATCATAAATTAATTCTACACATATCAGTGGGTAACATGGTCTATTTTCATCTATAGCTGTCTTGAATTATATTTATGTAGGTACAGTGTAGATAAAAAGCATCTGTAACTCATAATAGTTCCTTTGAAATGGAAAAGCTCATTCAGAGCTCCCTGGATGTTTGCCTTCTGATTTTCACAGGTTTCAGGTAAGACTTAAGGGCACCTCTGAAACAAATTTGGGGCATTTTGTCCTTGAAATTTAGGGAAATTCAACTAGCAGTATTCACATAATCTAGCTTTAAAATTTAAGAATTTACCTTTCCTGAATTGCTCTTTGGAAGAGCTTACATAGTTCCATTTACCTTGTATTGTATTCTCAGTTGCATCTAAATTAAGTGTCTGATGAACATGGTAATAATAGACCTTATGTGAAAGAGTGTAAGAAGGAAGGGGCTTAGTAGCATAGGTATTTATTGTTTTTCTGCAGCATGCATGGGGTAACTCAAATTTAGACTTTCAGACTCAAAGCCGTATAATATTTTTAGGACTATAGAGCCTGTCTGACTTTGAAATAGCAAAGACTAAGTAGTGATTAACCCATGCATTTAACAGTTCTGAGCATAGGGGTTCATTCAACAATGAAAGCAATCAAATAAGAACTAAAGTCCATCTAAGCTTTAGAAAAAGAATAGGGAAGTATCATAAAGCAAGCAATGCTTTTACTACTGTAATAGTTCCTGCAAGAGAACTTGTTTTCTTTACAAGTGGGAACAGATCTGTAAAAATAATTTAAAATTCAGAATGCAGATAGTCAGGTGGGAAAAAAAAAGTTATTAGCTATAAGGAGATAATAGTAATTGATATCAGTTTCAATAGGGATATGTAAAAAACTGAATTAGACAAAATCCACCAAATTACTACTGGAGAAGAAAATAATGACTCAATATAAATTAAATTCAAGCTACGTATATATACACGCACACACATATATATACCTCTATATGTTAGTCCTGTACTGAAAATTCTCCTCCATCTCTATGCTATTTCAATGTAAACTCATGACTACCAGAGACAGTTAGTCTTCTGGGATATTCAGTGTAAATGTTATTTCTCAATAGTAAGAATAGAAGAAAAAAACCTATTTTCCAGCCTTTCATGGGCAAGAGGGATTTATAATTCAAACAGAATCCATTGAGACTTGTGCATTGTTTAGTTTGCATATGTTGGCAGCCAAATTATCCTACATATAGCTTTTCAAAAAAGAAAAGTAGTACATAACCACTAAATACTGTTATTATTGGTCAGATTACAAAATGGTACTTCAGGTTATTCAAAATGAATGAATACTAATACATATCTTTATGCTTGAATTCATTACATGCAGGTGTCAGGAAATACCCTGGCAATGAGTGGTGTAACATACTGGAAAATCCTATAGGGATAATAACTCTATTTTTGCAATAGCGTTTGCATGTTTGGAATGGAAGAAAGGGCTGTGGAAAACTCTTACACATAAAAGTTTTGGGTTGTTGGATCTTCACAGTTGCAGTTCCAACATATTTAGATGTCAGTCAGCCTCAGTCCAGGGATAACCTGACACCAATAGAAGGCTGATGTGTCAGTCACCTAATCTTTAGATACAAACCTTCCATACACTTCCACTGTGGAACTGATTAACTTAAACGTGAAAAAGTAATGCTGAATCATAGCATTCCCTTAAGCAGCACAGCAGTGCAATTTTTTCCTAGGTAAAAAAAGGTTATTTTACTTCTTTGCTGCTCTAAATATCAAAAGAAGTAACAATTAGTGTACTGTGCCTGTGCCTATGTCCTATGCTTACACTATCCTATGCTTATTTCCTTCATCACAATATCTTAATACAGCTTATTTCAAATTGAACAATAAAGTGTACAAATATATCAAGACAGAGAAGTGTTCTTCATTTTCATAAAATTTGCCAGTAAAATCTGCATCTTGCTGGGAAGCAACTAATAATGAACTGACATTTAGAAGTTAGGTTAGTTCTGTGAGACAGCCATCATTACTTTTGACCACTTTGTGTCTTAAGAGACAACATAGTATAAAACTATATTCCAAAAAATTGAACTACAAACATTCCTGTTGCAAAATGAAGGAGTAAATCAGGAATACATAATGGAAGGTTATAAGTCTTAATTTTGATCTGAATTACATGATTCTGTGCCATATATTTTTTTCTGATAATATTCTGTCTTTATTTTTCTTTCTGCTGCAGCCTAGTATCTATGAGAAATTGATGTGTTAACTGTTAATAGCTCAAGCATTGCTAAGTTCACTGTAGGACTTTGCCCACTATGGCAAGCTGTATAAAGAAGCCACTGCTGATGTGTGGCCACCAAACCTGTCCCCAAACACTGAATAAGTCTCTGTGAATTCCTGGAAATCTGGACATAAAATTAAACCACCTGACAAAAGCTTGAGATAAGATAAAGGTGGCTCTATTCCCCAATTATCTTGAGTCTAAGAAGTAAACAAGCCTGGGGAGAAGAATGTATCCACAAGGAAAGCCAACTCAGCAGCTGTGCTAAATATCAGCTCTGTCTGGGTCCAGCACAGGGAGGCCATAGCCCACAGACTCATTTCTGAGGCCTTCCACCAGGGACTGCACATGATCCAGAGTGTTGCAACAGATCCACTGTAAAAGATCCACCAACCAGGAGAGATGCTTCGACATTCCTATGCACACTTGAATATAAATATAAGCATGGAATACTACGTGTTCTGCTAAAATGACACAGTGAGGCAGCAGAGAAGAAAGATGTTTTCTATGTGAGGTTGAGCTTGGAAGTGGAAAGCAGAATTCCTCCTTTCCTGAGAGCAACTGAGTAGATCCAGCTATAAGGCAAGGAGAAAAATCTGAAAAATGAGGGCAGACAAGGCAAATAACAGATTCCAGAAATAAATATCCTCTTCACAACCAAGAATAAATCCATTGCTGAGCATCAAATGTTACAAAAAGAACCTTTTTCTTATATCTGTTTTAGGAGTGTGAACCAATATGAGTGGATCTGAAGAGAGCCAGAGTTGGAGTGAGAATTAATGTCCAAACTATATAAATCTCAGGGTTTGAAAGAGTGATTTGAAAGAGTCTTGGTTTTGTTTCACTTTTGATTGACTTTCGTCTGATTCCCCTGATCAAATGGTCAATATGCTGAATGCTCAATTGTCATTGGAATGCATCAGGAATAGTCCTAATTGAAGATTATCTTGAAGCTCCAAATGCTCCACACACTGCTCCACAAAGAAAAGTGCTGTGAATGTGGATGATTATTTGAGTTACTTAAAAAACATACTGGTTTGAAAATCATTACAACAACATAAAAAGTAAGTTAATTTCTAATTAAAAGATATATGCTTGTAGAATAGCACAAAATCGTATTCAGTACACAATACTTTCATATTTAAGGTACCTTTATTTTTGATTCAAAAAAGTTGCATGATAAGAGCCAAATTCCAGTGCTTGATACTGTTTAAGAAAAAACCAAAATAAAACAAAGAACAGAAATGTGGGGGTTTTACCTAGGCATTGTGTTTCAGTACCGCTCCAGAGACCATTTGCCAAGCACTCTCTCACATGAGAACCAACCAGTGTGTATCCCGTGTTACAAGTGAATATTGCTGTAGCTCCATACACTGTTAATGTTCCAATCTTATTTCCATTTGGTGGAGATGGTAGACCACCACAGGAGATAACTAGGGGAAAATAAAAGGAACAGAACATTCTGAAATGTGAAAATGTTAATCATAATTTTTTTGACTAGAAGAGAGTACATCACCACGTATATTCTTCAAAAGAAAAACCTAATAGGAATAAATACAAGAGTTGTATTCCACAGAACGGGCTCAAAATTATACTTGATTTAGAAACAGATGTTCTAAATTAAAAAATTCTTTGGGATACCTGCATATCTTGACAGCAGCCAATCCATATTTCTAGTTCTGAAACAAGATAATTGCATGAGTTCCTGAGAAGGTTGTGGTTACATTCCATATGTACATATCCATGGCTACTCCTCAAATACACTTTCCCTGGTAATTTTCAGTGTTGTGTCAGTTTAAAGGTATTATAAATCTTTTTAACATTTAGTACTCTGAATTGTTATGAACATTTTCCTTATTTCCCACTACCATTCATTAGCATATAGTATATATGATATATGATAGTCTGCTTGCTAAAACAATAAATCATCTGGTTTTGCTGGACTAGATTTGACCAATTTTCACATAAACTTTCTGTAGCATCAGCTGTGACTCACAGATATTGCACACCACATGAAAAACTGTCTTTCAAAAATGTATCAAACTAATTTAATCAAAGCCATTCTGTAATTTCTTTTTTTTCTACAAGAGTATATCAATAATATTGCAATTTAAGATGCAGACCAATGTCTTCAAGAGCTTCAACTATATTTACATATTAGTATAAATCATACGTTTACTTTCAATAACATCTTGATCACAACTTCCTATTTGAAATCCCAAGGCCCCACTCTTATATATCTTAAAACATTCGCTATGGAAAACAAAATGGAATTGGTTATAATTTGGATAAAATCAAGTACCAGCTACTGATTACTGAACTAAGTCATAATCAGAAAATTTATGATCACAATTTCTTATGTTCATAATATGCCCAGAGATGAGTAAGAATCATTTTGTCTATGATCAAGTCACATTATTGTAATTTGTGGATTAGCCTAACAATACAATTTCTAGTTTTAGTGCCATTAATTACATTTATATTAAAAAATAAATCAAACTCCATTTGAAGAGATTGACTCAATAGAATGAACTGCTCTAAACCTATTACAAATGCTTTATTTCCTCTAATTACAGATATTACACTTAAAAATACATAAACTACATGAATAATGAGCTATATCAGTATTTTTAGGCATCTGTTCAGCATACTTTTTTTAAAAAAACCTTACTAATTAGATTTCCCTTAATCCAGAATGACCTCTAATTTGAAGTTTTGCAATTCCTTTAGAGATATTGTGGACAATTAGACATTGGTAAATATACTCTAAATTCCTTATCATCAGTGTTTCAATAACTTTCCTACTGCTTCAGAAAAATAAATAACTAGAATATATATATTTATATATATAAAAAAAAAATTTGTCCTTAGCATGTGAATGACACAGAGAAATTAAACTGTAGACTCCACAAAAATACTCTGCAGTGTGTTTCTGGATCTTAATGATCCACCTCCAAGGGGAATATTACTGAATATCTCTTGGGGAATGAAGTTTGCTATAATTAAATCCTAATCAGTCCTCTAGCAGAGGGAAAAATAATGTACGTTTCTTACAAATTAACCAATATCTCTTCAATCAGAAACTCCCTGTGTTTCTCTGTCTAATACTCTTGGTTAACTGCATCTGATGTAGATCACCTCATTTTTTACTCACATAAAATTTCTGTAATTGTAGAGGGCAGGCAAGAACTATCTTTTCAAAGACTTGTCAGCAGCTGAAGAGTAGCTGCATATTAGGCAGCACATCAAAACTACATTTTTTAGTCTATGTGCACAAACAGAAAGGGACACAATTGCAGTTAACATAATTTCAAAAAATAACATTGTAAAAGAAAAAATGTTTGTTAAGACTTTGGTACTGTAAGCCTTGAAACCTCTGTAATTCCACTGAGACTGCCAAAGTTCTCTAACACTTCAAACATCCAAAGTTAGGATTGATGTAATGTATGGCATTTTTGTATGAAGACCCTATAAAAGTTCATATGAATGTTTCTTCAACAGTACAGTTTTAATGCTTCATCCAAGAGGTCAAAGCAATATCATCTTCTAATCTGGAATCTTCTAAAGTAATAACATTCTCTCCTAGTATTTTTCAAATACTTTTGCACCACCCAGTAGAATAAATGCAAATTGATTTCTTGATGCTACTTCAGGCTCTTGTATGAAACATTGTACTTAACAACTCCAACAAGGGGTTGGAATAAATTAATATAAAGTTAATGAAAATTTCACACTTTCTTACTTATTCAAATGTGAGAGCAATATAGTTTATTAAAGCCTTTATTTATAAAAGAAAATATTTGTATTAAAAAGCATAGGATATCCCAAAAACAAGTATGTTCCTTACCCTTACAAGTTGGCTTTTCATTGCCTACACTCCAGGTTCCATTAGGCCTGCACTGTATGAGTCTTTGACCCAATAAATAATATCCAGGACTGCAGCTGAGCATGACTTGAGCTCCATACTCATTCAGTGACCCAGAAATCAGTCTCCAGACAACATGTTCTGACAGAAGAGTCTCTATGCTAGGGCAGGTTACAGCTGTGAAGAAAGGACATGTACATATTAGCATTCTGCCCCTAAATTTCTTTATGGGTATATGTTGTGCCTTACTGCCAGATGTTTCACAATCTAAGACTTAGAATACATAGTCATTTTGGAAAGACAAGTTCTAAGAAAAATAATTCTCATACAGTGATTATTACAAATTGAACTGGAGTTTGTAGTATATTTTCACTTAGCGGATGTAGCGGAACAAAAACATACAGTTATGTTCTCTAATGAGATTTATTCAAAGATTTCAGAGACAAAATACATCACAGATTATGGTGGATGTAAAAGGGAAAGCAAATATTGCTATGTAATGTTTGCAAAGCTTGAAGCGCTTAAAACAGGTTGCTATAAAAGCTGCTAGCACACATTGAAGTGCTAATTACTATAAAACCATATATTGTGGGCGTACAGGAAAATTAATTCATTCCAGTTTAGAAAACTTTAAAAAACCTGATGATACTTAGGAAGATTTTTGAAGTTATTCCAGTTCTGTTGTTTTTAGTAGTTCATATTTTGTAAAAGAATGCAGTTACTGATAGTAGACAAGAAGTATAGTTTTTGTTCTTTTTTCAGTTTCAATTTGATGCTCTGCAATTTAAGTCCACAGAATGCTTACAATATTTATGATATTGACATGAATTCTATCTTAATGTACCTATGACTCTAGACTAGCATTATGAAAATATTTATGACTATTTTAAATAGTTATATTTGTTATCTTTTACCATGTTACTCACAATTTCCCTGCAAAGAAAAAGTCAGTATGAATTACTCACTGTTTATGTCACTAAGTGAGATTCATGAACTGAATTATTTAGAAAAAGCTACTACCCCAAAAATAGCTGAAAAAAGCTGTAGTTTCTAAGGAAAATCAACCATGAACCACAACAAGAAGTAGAAGAAATTTAGTTTCTTTATATGTTGCTCAGTGGAAGACAAAAACATTAAGAGGAAGCGTGTAAAAATCCCAAATGAAGAAATAAAAAGAAGAGTCTGGTTCTCATTTATGCTACAATAAATTCATACTATTACACCAGGAAAAAGACTAACAGTCTGGCAAAATAAATACATAAATAAATACATTCTCTATAGATATCACACTGTCTGAGAAGTATAAAGAGTTTTTATCACAAGTATGAATGTGTGATGGAAGGGACTAGTTCAGGAAATCATTGAACTAAAAGGGAAGTGATGGAATCAAAATTCCCGTAAAAATTAAGTTAATTCCATAATTATACATCTACCTTTTCCAATAGTTATCTTACCCATGGAAAATTTTGGCATCCAGAAAAATCAGAACTAAACACAGCATATTTATGAAGATGAGTAAGTATTAATAAATGAGAAATAATTTGAAGAACTTCCAAATGCAAGATTATAATGTTATATTGAGTTGAAATTATAGAATATTTTCTTAGATTTCTTTGGTATATCTTAGGAAGGATTGCCAGTGTACAATCAGTTTGAAACTTAAGTGGTCTCCACTTTAGCTTTTAAAACTATATTTTGACTACTGGAGTTCGGTATCCCAGGTAAATAGAGGACTTCCTACTTCCTAATTTAATTTATTTTGGTGTTGATACTAAACTATGTTTCATAACTGTAGAAAAATTATGAACTATAAACAAAGAAACATTTTTCTGTACTTGTGGTTAAATAAAATGTGCATATGGAAGCACTCAACAACTTTTACTGAAAAACATAAGTTTTTCCAAAAACAAACCATATTCTAAATAGGAACTTAATGCCCATCAACTTCAACATTTTTATCACTCCTCCTTCAAAACAATAGTTTTATTGGTTCTTTCAAATATGAAAGAAAGTTTCTTATTTAGTCCAATAGCAAAAATTTTAGTCTTAACCATAGGACATCTCAAGACAGGCTCAGCTACTTCATAATATGTAAATAAGCTGCATGGATGTTACCTCTACATCCTGAGGTCAGTATGCAATTTATTCTTTATCTATAGATACACATAGATTTGCAAGCACACTTTATAAACAACTATCAGATTCTAATGCATAAATGTACAATTTCTAATTCAAGATGTTCCTCAAAACAGAATATACTTCTGGCTGTGTTGATGTAATCAACTAAACCTGCTGCTTGAAAAACTTTAATTTTACAGGGACTGATTTTGATTTATTAAATTCCTCATCCTTCAAGAAACAAAACAGTGACTATTATAAGGTGCATGATTTTGTGCACATGGTTTGTGAATGAGTGCATCAACTTGCCTCTTATGGTCAGTCTCTTGGAAATTATGGTCTGGGCACTATTTAAATTCTCATTTACATACATTAAACTTTGTAAGGGATTATCTCAATTTCTTAAAGATGTGGAGATGTTCTCTTACTTCTCCAGGCATTTTTATACAAAAATGTATGAATAATATTTATTTACATAAAATAAATGTCAGAAAGCAAAATTATAATTTGAAATCATGATTATCTATTTTAATGACATGACAATCTCCCTATATTTATAATTCTGAATATACTCAAAAGCAGTGAATTCTTAATGAGATAATATTACAATAAAAAAAAAATACAGCTGAAACAGGAAGATCTGTCAGGTCAATATGTAGCTTGGAGGCTGGTGTGGGTGGAAAAATTTGGGTTTTGTTGACCATGGGATGATCTACTTAATACCTGGTCTATAGACACCTGATAGGATGCAGCTTTCTCAGAGGGGAAAAAGAGCTCTAGCACAGGAGCTGGTGGGGCTCACTGAAAGAGCTTTAAAGTGGTTTGGAAGGGGGAAAGGGAAAATACCAGGCTTGGCAGTGATGAGTGATGGTATGGTGTGCCAAAATTTGAGGAAAAAACCACTAATCTCTCAGTCTTCTTCACAAGGTGCTGGCTACAAAGTATCACACTTAAAATGTTTCTACACATGCACGCAGTGTAAGTAAAGCAAAATGAGCTCAAAGCTTTGCCCCAGACCCAGTCTGATATCATTGGTCTAAGCTAAACCCAGTGGGATGAGTCCTGTGACTGGAGTGCCCTCTCGGATGGTTACAGCCTCTTTAGGAGGGATAGGCAGGGCAGAAAAGGCAAAAGGTGGTGAGGGGGTGGCACCAATGTAGTAGAAGGGGTAAAGTATAAGGAGTTCTCAGCAATGGCTCAGTTGAGAGTTTCTGGAGAGGAACTTCAATTTGCCAGAAATTACCTGGGAGAACCACACAGCTGCTACAACCCAGCCCAGAAGATTACTAAAATCCTGGATGATAACTTTATGGAACAGATCAAAATGGAGATGGCTCAGAAAGATTCACTCCTTGATCTCCTGCTTATCAACATGGAGGATCTTGTAAGCAAAGTGGAGACTGGTGCCCATCTTGGCCTCAGTGACCATAAAGCTACTGAGTTTAAAATTTCTGTTGACAGGAGGAAAAAGCGTCAGCACAACCTCAGCTCTGGAATGAGAGTACACTACAAACTTCTCAGGGAACTGGTAAGTAAAATCCCCATGAAAAATATTTTTGCAGGTGTTTTGATCCATTAGTGCTTGTCACCTTTAAAACAGTCTCCCTAAGGGCACAGGAATGTCAGAAGTCAAGCAGGTGAGTCAAGCAGGTGAGGCAAAAGGCGAGCTTGGCTGAACAGGGATCTCAGGCAAAAAAGGAAGGTGCATTCCCTGTGGAAGCAAGATAAAGTGTCATGGAAGAATACAGAGATCCTGCTTGCCACTGTAGCGAGAAAATTAATCCAGTCAAAACTCAGCTGGCCAAAAATATGATGGACAATAAACTTACATATTTCTTTCAAATATATTAATGGCAAAAGTCAATATAAAAATAATATTGAAGATTATTAATAACAGGATGTGGATGATCACCTCACAAACAGGGACATGGACAAGGCAGAGGTGCTTATTGCATTGTCTTCAATAAGGATGATGCACCAAGGTGGTCTCAGAGCCCTGAACTGGAGGATCATGACTGCGAGAATGACCAACTAAGCAATATTAAGATTATGGAAAAGTGCAATTAGCTGTTCCTTAAAATATTTGATGTTAGATGAATTAGTATAAACCAATCAAGACCCTAATTTAAATCTTTGAATAAATGTATTAAAGGAATAGTGGAAAAGAGCTATAAAGTTATACAGTTAAAGGGAATATCTCAGCCAATTAAAATGTTAGAAGAATGAACCATCTCATGGTTCAATGAGCCATTCTCATTGAATTCTCATTGCCAAACTCAACATTCTATGTAACGCATCCACATCTTTGAAAAGGAAAGCAGAAAGAGCAAAGGCCAGAGAGACATAGATTCGAAGAATCAATGGATAAAAGTGAACTTTGTGAAGTTCAGCAAGGCCAAGTCCTACCCATCAGTCAGGGCAATCTGAAGCACGAGTACAGGCTGGGCATGGAATAAATTGAGAGCAGCCCTTAGGAGGAGGACTTTGGGTGCTGGTTGACGAGAAGCTTGACATGAGCCAGCAACGTGCACTAGCCAACTGTATTCTGGGCTACACTGAAAGAAGTGTGACCCAGTAGGTTGAGAGAGGTGATTTTACCCCTCTACGCTGCTCTTGTGAGACCCCACCTGGATTACTGTGTCCAACTCTAGGGACCCCAACAAAAGAAAGATGTGGACCTGTTGGAGTGAATCCGGAGAAGGCCAAAAGCACCTCTGATGATGACAGGCTGAGGGAGATGGTGTCACTCAGCCTGGAGAAAAGTAGGCTCCTGGGAGACCTTAGAGAAGCCTTCCAGTGCTTAAAGGGGGCTACAAGAGAGATAGAGACTATTCATAAGAGCATGTAGTGATAGAAAAAGGAGTAATGGTTTCAAATTTAAAGAGAGTGAGTTTAGATTAGAAATTCTTCAGTATGAGGGTGGTAAGGCACTGGAACAGGTTTCCCAGAGAAGCTGGGACTGCCCAATTTCTGGAAGTGTTCAAAGACAGGTTAGATGAGGCTGTAAGCAACCTGGTCCAGTGGAAGATATTCCTGTCCATGGCAGAGAGGGTTGATGATTTATAATCTGCCTTCCAACAAAACTATTCTCTGATTCTATGGAAGAGCAATAGAGAAGTCTTTTCCCTGCATCATGCTCTAGGGATCTCTATGCAGAAGGTATTTGTCATTCAGTTAGGCTTACTTAGTAGATATCTGTTGTTTTGTATTTTCTGTAATTAAATTCAATAGCCTAATATCCATGATCAATCTGTGTCTTGCTCTATGACCATCACAAATCATATTTTTCATGCTTCAAATCTGATGTAAATACTTTTAATGAAAAGAAAGGCATTTCAAATATCTGCCTTAGGCATGATATTATCAGAGGTGCTTTGCAAAGCAAACTGCCCTGATTTCAACCTTCATTTTAATACACATGGGAATAAAACCAGATTTATTTATTTACCATTTACTTTTCTGTGCTGTGTTTGCTTCCCATCAAGTTAGAGATGTTTCTGTTTCCGGAGACTAAATTCATCTAACTTTATAGCAACAATACTGGATAAAATAGGTTGTTATGGAGATTGCCTAAGCTCTTCTGCACTTTGCAAGAAAGAAATCTTGGGTAAAGCATGCCTGCCTCTGAATAGCAATCTATTCTGAAAATATTGATTTTGAATTGTCAGGTACATCACTAGCACTTTAATTTAGCACTCCTAGATTTAGAATTGGATTTTTTTTTCAAATAATTTTTTAGAAAAGGAAAAGGGAAGACAAGGAAGAAGGAAAGTGGTATATAAGTTTTTAATTTATTATAAATACTAAATAAAATTTTTAATGTTCAAAGTTGTGCTAAATGTTAATAATTAAGTTTTGTTTTAAAGGGTAGTCTTTGTCTGGTTAAGCTTGACCATTTCAATAATACAAGCTTTTGTTTGCTTGTTTGTTTCTTCACTGCAGATATAGTGTAATTAATTTAGCATATCTAATCCCCAGATAGTTTATGTCTTCTTCCCTCAAAAAAAAAAAAAATCTGCTGACATTTTTGTTGATTATTCATTCAAGTTATGTGCTTTGTACACTGTCATTTTTTTCTGAAAATCAAGCTCACTTCAATTCACTGGAGCACTGCCTTCCCTCTGTACACGGCTCTGAATTCAGCTCATGTCTGTGTGATCACAGCTGGTTTTGAATAATCCTCTTTATGTACTCTGTGGAATTGCTGTGTACAGTTTTAGGCACTGCCCTTCAGGAAAGGTGAAGATCAATTGGAGATTGTCCAGAGGACAATAATGAGAATGACTGGTCCTAAAAGTAGGAAAGAAGACTGAGAATGAATCACAGTAAGATAGTTATCTCTACAAGGTGACTGAGTGCACTGGATTCAGGAGTCAAGGTGTTGGCAGGGGTGAGTGAGCAGCTCCAAGGGTGGCCTTTGTGAGGAGAGGCTGTGGGGCACAGTCAGGAAGGACTGTCAAAGGATCCACTGTAGAACACAGCTGAGCTCTGCAGCCATCATGGTAGCATCTCTGGGAAACTGTGTTTAGGAAAAGGCAGAACTCTGCACAGGCAGAGAGGGTAGAAACAAAAAGAGTGAGAAACAGAAGAGGGAATACTAAGGTCACATAAGGGAGAGGTTCCAGACACTAGAGCTGGTGTTTTGCTGCAGTCCAATGGAAAGGACCATGCCAGAGCAGATATCCATATGCAGCCCACACTGGAGCAGGTGAATATTATTTCTTGAAGAATCTGGATCCACAGATGGAGGATGAAGATGGATGATCCACACTAGAGCAAGTTTATCTTGAAGTTCAATAGCTCATGAAGAAGAGACATGCTGGAGCAGAGGAAAAGTGCAAGGAGGAAGGAGAAGCAGAGAGAAGCCTTTAATATGCTGATCACAACTCCCATTTCTTATGCCCTAGCACTGGCTTGAGTAAGGAGAAGAACCAACAGAATGAAGGTGACCCTGGGAACAGAGGGAGGAAAGCATTGTTTTGACGTTTTTTAACCTTTATTTTCTGAAACTATTTGACCTTATTTTAACTGTCAATACATTAAATTAACTTTTTCCAAGTTGAATCTTCTCTCTGTCCTTATCTTGACCCATGAGATTTTTCATGCTCTTTTTTCCCATCTGGTTGAAAAGGGAAAGGGAGTGAACAGCTGGGTGAGATATGACTGCTCACCAAGGATAACTCACTACACTGAAAAAATAACAGTTTTCAAACACATTAATAAAGAGAATAAACAGAGAATAAAACAAGTATAAAGAAACTTCTATTTGCCCACTGTGGATACAAAATGAAACAAGGCCTTTACCCTCCAGAAAAACAGCTTCAGATTATATAAATATTAGGGAAAACTGCAAGGGGAAAAGCAAATTACTGAAAGAGACTATTCAAGAAGGTGCTCAAGATTAGGTTAAATGACCATCTATCAAGGATGTCTAGAAACTGTCTCAAACCAACTTTCAAATATATTATCTAATGACTGCTATCAATTAATTCAAATAAATAAAAACCCTTTCACAATCATGCATGAGTTCACAATTCTTGCATTTGTCTCATTTTACTAATTTTACTCATTTTACAATTTCTTTAAAAATTAGTTGAATTTTACTTGTTTGAGAAATTGAAGCACTTATCAAATTCAGAATCTGGAAGGCACATACATATGCTGTTGATTAAATCAAGATTCTAAATTAACTCTAAAAATTTTTACGCATAGTATTATAGAAACTATTAACTTTGAGATTATGTCCTAGTCAGTATTTCAAGTCACGTTGAAGTCAGGCTCAGTTAAGAGATGCAGTGGCTGCCCAATGCAAATGAGAGGCCATGCCTTGTAGTAGATGAGTTTGCACTATATTGGTTTGCTCCTGACAGGAGGCAGAAATGAAGACTGAAGGATTCTTATTCAGCTTAATTATCTACACTAATATTAAGGATTCTTATTCAGCTTAATTATCTACACTAATATTCTTAGAAAGAATTTTTGCTTTGATTACTTTTGAAGCTATATTAAAAAAGAAATTTTAATTGGTGATTGTAACTCACCATGGTGAAGGGCATATTATTCATAATAAGAAAATATACGGGAAACAATTATCTAACAATTTAAATTCAGATGTTTTGAAGAAGATAAAACAAAGGGGTTTTTTATTAAAAAAATTTATAGGCCTCTTCTACTTTACTTCATACTAAATGATGACACATTCCTGAATGGCCACTTCAGGGCATATGTATATGTGCTGAGAAAGTTCTGGGGAACTATTCTTGGGAAATACATGCCCACTTACATTTGCAAACAGGCGGCCTCCCTTTGTTGCTCCACAATCCATCTTCTTGACACACTGCTGTTGCTTGTTGACTAGATTCTAGCTTGAAGCCCTCATTACATTCATATATCAATCTACTGCCCAAAGTGAATTCATTACCTATAACTGAACCATTCCCAGGGGACTCAGGAATGCCACAAGATACAGCTGAAAAGAAAGGAAAGAAAAATATAAATAACTTCAATTTTATTGTATGTATCTTTAAAATACTGTCCCACCACTGAAATAAGAAACATAGGTTAGTAGACATATCCCATTTATAATAATTGAAATTATTTTTCCACCATATTTGCGACATTCTGATAAATGTAACAGTATTTAAAGCAATGATAAAAACTTAGAAGTGCATCTAATATAGACAAACATTTTATAAATAATTATTTAGTTCAATATAATCACTGCAGAGAGAGAATTTTCAACACAGGCTAAGGGCAATGGTTTATTTGCTAAAGAGAAAAAAAACCCAGAAGTTTACAAAGAGATTTGGTCCAAGAAGAAGTGAACAGAAAAACTCTTAAATGCTTTCTTGTAGTTTAGTAGTCTAATAGCTTGCTCCATTCTCTTAGGGTTTCTTTCAATCCTGCACTACTTCATCACAGTTTGTTCATATATTTAATGTTTGTTTGTTCTATGCATTTAGAACTATGTTGTTAAAGAATTCAATTTAACGTTTTTTGTCTGATGAGAAAAACCACCACATATATGACTAGACAAGTAAGTGCTCCACTTAAGGACATTATTCAGATATATTAAACTTTATTTATATATCTGACTATTTCATAATTCTAAATATAATGTGCATCTAGGCTTATCAATTTTCTACATCATGAAGGAAATTATTAATTGAATTATTTTCACCTTTTTTTTCTCTTCTGTATTTAATTCTAAATGAACAGTTTTTCTTTCAAGATCACAAAATTTGCTGTCAATTTAGTGAAGTTTGAGTAGCATGTATGGTGTTTTTTTAGGCTCATATATTAATTTATTTAGCCAGAGTTCCTTTAACATTATCTCATAATACACAATTTTTGGGCAGAGTATAATTATAAAAATGTCTATTTCAGTCACTTCTAGGAAAGGTCTCCAAGTCAAAATTGCCTTCTGTCATCTGACTTCTCAGGTCCCTTGCTTTTGACAATTTTGTTTTTTAAATTTCTTTTAACACAATGTTTATTTAAAGTAGTATTCATGTACAGACATTAACTCTAGGACCTTTAATAAGTTACTAAAGCTGGTAAAAATTTCCCACAGCTCTTCTGAAGGGAAAGTCATATTATCTTATCTGAAAGGATGTTTCCTTTCTGCAAAATGGCAATTTAGAGCAGACTACCTATCAAATCATTACAATGAATCTATTTCATAAGTTCATATAAACCAATGTGTAAGTGTGTAAAGAATCACAAGCTACTCTGAGTTTGGCATGCAGTTTACTGCTCTGCAGAAAATACACTGAATAAACATCAGCTTTGAAGCTTGCATTTTTAAATATTTACCAATAAAAAGTGAAGTTTTACAAATTAAAGTATTTTTTCCTTACATGCAGTCAATGGTAAGAAGCAATTCAATATTTTCATATTTAAAACAAACAAATAAATAAATTTCAAAACAAGAAATCACAGTGTTTGTCTGAAATCTGTTTCACTGATGAAGATAAGTATTTACTGAAAAATAAATCTAGTTTTTATCACTATTTACCCAATTCATTGTAATTGATTGATTTCAGAACACATCATCATGGTACCATAACACTACTCTCAAATTTGTTTTCAGCGTTTCCAAGTTGTCACATTTGATGAATTTAAATTAAATACAACACAGTACTTTGAATATGATTACAATGAGGAGATATAACCATTATGAAATTATGAGTGATTAGTTCATTTCTGCAGTTCCTTCTATCTGGATTTTGTCATAATGCTAACAGAAGTAGAACTATAGGAAAGTTTCAAAATAATCTGCCACCTTTGCAACACAACTTCTTGGCAATTTCTGTATCCTAACCAGAACTGCTCTTCTCTTATCAAAACTGAGTATTTCTCCATCAGTGAGCAGGGGCTGAGTCTCCTGCCAGTAGAAGCAGTAGTACTGGGTCAGAAAAAGTAGAGAGAAGTGATAAGGAAGGGCACTTTTAAGAGAGCACTTTTAACTGCTCTGAATCGAGTCAAAGTAGAGAAGGATAAAAACAAATACTGCATCTTCTGGAGGCAGGTCCTTATCCACAAGGTGACTGCAGCAGGAGTGGTAGTTTCTCAGGTCTCTGGTGTACTCAACACAGCATAGGCATATCTGGTTAAATACGCTATATTCCCTAAAGATCAGCTGAAGCCTTTACCTACAACTAGAACCAACTCTAAGCATTTGTCAGGCAAGCAATACTTGAAAAGTTTGTCTACATACTGAACTGATGGAAAGTTACACTCTACTTTAGCACATCATAAAAGTATCAATGCATTTCAAGTCATGGTTACTGTGAAAGATTTCAATGTTCCCAATGTCTTGCACTATGCCTCCACTCATCCTAATGCATTACAGTTTCCCCTGACTTGTGACGATGTGTCTGAAGGCTTTTGGTTCAGATTTAACTTCTTGTCAGCATTTTCAGATCTCATTTCATATAACAAAACAATAATCTCTGTGTTAAGTGCATATAAATTTAATTGTATAAAACCAAAACTCAAAAATATGAGTCTATCCACCCATCCCATGTATGTGCCCATCTGTATATACAGATGGACTTTATTTCATTTCCCACTAAATACACCAAACATTAAATAACTTCAAATACTTTAGTGAAGCAAGAAGGTTTTATTATGCCATTTGAAAACAAAGCAAACAAACAAAAAAAACCCCTCAACAAACCAATCCATGTCTGTTTAGTTGACAGTAGAAGCTAATAATTCTGTCAGCACTTGTTCTTCACCTTTAGCAATAACCTTTCTAGAGACACTGTAAAGTTCAAGACTGAGTAGCTCTTATGTGCAAGTTATTTTAAGGAATAAAAGATGTACAATGCCTATTCACACACAGGTGGGCCTCTCAATCATGTCAGGCCTGATGCAATGTCCAGTATGCTAAAGCACCTCAAAATCTATGCTTACCTGTCACACTTCAGCACTTTCATCCTCAGCTTGTTCCTGAGCCCTTACTGTGTCCCTTCTTTCCTTAGTTGTTTCTAAATCTTGTACTGCTAAATAATCAGGCTTTTCTCACTGCTGCTTTAGCCACTTACCATTAAGGCAGTTTGGGAATTCTGGCACTGTTCCAGTTATAGTCTTATCTATTTACTTTTTTGTATGCTTTTCTCCCAGAGCTTGGGATTGGAAAAAAATATTCCTGTTGCTACAAATTTATAGAGACTGCTAAAGGCTTATAGAGCAGCAGTGTTGAAACAAAGCATATCAGCAAGGAGAGTTTCACTAAATAGCAAGTGCTTTAAAATTTAAAGCAAAGTAAGCTGAGCCAAACTAAAATGGCATATTTTCTTTGGACAGTGGGAACAATGACACTGCTGTGCCACAACCAAGTATTTTGAAGCTCTCAGCTTCATGGTTGTTAAACAATTAAGAATGGTGTGAGAAAATCTTCTGACTTGAGGAACTGTCAGCTTGTTTCTTAGGTCAATGATTAGATGAGACTGACAGGTTCCAGCTGGGAGATGTGCATTCAGAGTGTTAAAAATAGAAGTCAGCCTTAATAGTATCTATTATCTTGCACAGCAGTAAAGTATACTTCTTCCAATGCAAGGGGAAAAGCCTTTTACCTAGAAATTGAGATGTGTTCCAGTTTATACTTGCATTTATTTCTTCTTAAAATCAGTAAATTTAAGATTGATGACAGTCTTTTAAAATATCTATACACCTGTATTCCAATAAGATACTTACATACCATTTATCTTCAAGTATGCAATTTCATTGTGAATAGAAATTAAGCTGGGGGGTGCATTACAGTCAGATATTGAGTTTATTTTCATGTGCTGGAAAATCCCTAAATTTAATCCACAAACATTCATCATTAATTGACCTGTTTCTGGCATTGAACATAGTGCTAGGAAAAGCATTTAAATACCCAAAAACTGAAGTTAGAGAAGTCCCTAAAAGCAGGATTCAAAACAAAAACATGTTCAGTGGCTTATGTGTATGGTGTCCAATTGGAAACAAAGAGAGCATTCACAATTCTCAGACTTGGATACAGACAGAAATAAAAAAGAAAGTGAAAACAGGGTTGTGGGTATTAAAAAACCCAGCTGTTATGAGTTGTCATCCAGTCTATTCTCCTATCACAAACCAAAATTATACTTGACCAATCTTGATTTAATTTGTTCTTGAAAGACCTCCAATGATGAAAATTTCACATTCTCATTCACAGGCAATCTATTCCAGTATTTCACTAACCCCTCTGAGAAAAGAATAGAAAAAAAATAAAGAAAACCTAATTTAGGATCCTGTAAAAGTAAAGGTAGCTGTAATTCCTCTATCTAAAAAGAGCACAGATTAATTATTTTATTCATCTTTGGAGTTACTATTAGATTAAGGTTCCTGCCAAGTTTCTCCTTACATTTCTGGGATCTTTTTAGTCTAGAGTAATGCACTTATTGTTTTATATTCTGAAATAGGGTCATTGGTTTATTTATAAGAGAGAGCTGGAATTTGGTATTTTAATTTTATTATTTACCTCACATTTTTAAGACTGTATGCTATGAGGGACATTTTTGCATAGTAACTTTTAACAAAAGGTAAAAGGCCCAAGCCTAATTCCATGCTGAAAAACGCAGAACACCTAATTTTATGAGGAGGTAGTTTGTGGCCTCAGAGTCATAGGTCTTGTGTAAACTGTAAATGGATATTTTCAAGCCCACTCTCCCAGAGCAGACATGGAACACAATCATGGTCCTGGAATAATTGTTGAAGTACAGCAAAAAGTACAAAGATCTCTAGCTCCACTATGTACATCTATATACTTCAAGCACAGAGGTAAGCACGACAGTACCTGGAATCAGCATTTTTAGCAGGAACTGCTGGCATCAGCTGTACTTGTATCATGATTCTGTCATAGGTATTGAGCTTTTCCAAGTACTTACAATTCAGATGAGAACTTCCTTAAAGTAGTTACCTCCAGTTTTCTTTTATAATCCTACTAGGAAGTAACTCAAATGGTGAAGAGCAGCCAAGGGTTTTTCAAGGCTCTTTAAAGTTATTTTTAGCTCTTTTAAAACATATTGACCCTGACAACTTGCTTTCAGTTTTTCATTCTAACTGCTCCTCTTGCCAAGCTTTTCGTTTATTTTCTCTTACCATCTCTTCATCCCCAGCTTCATCTTCTCTTCCTACTCTCCCCCAGCATGACAATCTGTACATGAGCTAATCAGTGGCTGACAAATGTCGTTGCCAGTATCATTCCTGGGGCCTTACTATTTCCTTTCAGCAACTATTCACTGCTATTATACAAGAATAGTTATTTTCTCCCCATATCTCTTTTGAATGTAGCATGACTCATGTTTCTCTTTTCACTTCACAAATGAAATAAAAGCAATAACAGTAAGTTCTAATTTCCTAGATAGGAGTCAAGCTCTTTATACAGCATTCAGGATATTATTACACACATTTGCATTTGAGAGGACTGGAACTGAAAGATATCTTCTGACCCTATCAGATTAACTCATATTAGATGTTTTCATATTCAAATTAGATGTTTTTGTAACCGATAAATTACCCTTTCTGATAATATGATCAAACTTGATTTCAAAAATTAATTCTGACACATTCAAATTATAATTACAAATGTAACCCTGCAGGATTGATTTTACAGAAATTTCTGAACTAATCAAACACATTTTGATTTAGAAAGATTCTATAATGAAATCTATGGACTGGACCAAATGTGTAATTTTAATTAATTTTCAAAGAGAATTCATTTTGATAAAAGGTACTAAATAAATTTTGAAATATGCTCTCCATTTCAGAGTTTTTTGAAAAACATACGCCTCATTCACACATACAAGTTGGAATAATTGTACCAGAGTTGGAAAGTTATATATTAAAATGATGAATCCTACATTTATAAGAAATTTATAGTAAAGATTAAGCAACCTATGTAGCAAATATTTTTTTCTCCTGTTTTTTACAGAAATTGACATACCTACAGCCACATCTAAGGATGAAATTATAAATACAGTTTAAAATTCGAGAAAAAAGGTATTTGTGAACATGCTAGATCACTAAAATTCCAAAGCTCCTTCTTGCACACAGGGACAAAATATGGGCAGACAAAGTTTCTGAAGTATTTTATGATTTTCTTGAGTCCTCCTAAATTCTGTTCAGAATCTATTACTTTCTGAGGCTCTTTGACCCCTGGTCATCCACTGTCAAGTCCTGGGATGTTATATCAAGTCCTGCACACATCTGTACATATTCCCTCCTCCTTTCAGTGAATTATTCCATTTTCTCCTTAAAAGTGGGACTTTTGTCTTAAATTGTGTAAAGAATTTTTTTCTCCATTCATGCACCTCATTATGTTTGGACATAATTTTCAAGGGTAGAATGGTACATTTGAAACACTTTCTCTGCCATTGTGAACATAAAATGTAAAAACTAAAAATGTAAAAGAAAACTCTTAACATTAGACTTCTAAAAAAAAGAGAAACTATTAAAATATAAACTATTTAGAATTTTTAAGCACAGGATCGTATTTTCATTATACAGAACTCTGCTATTTGATTGAACATTAGTGCAAGTAGCAGTAGAAGACTAATATTGTCTGGATAGATTAGTAGAAAGCTAAGGGATACATTCGCATAGAATTTCTGACAGTGAAGGAATCACAAGATCTTAAATTCTGGAGAAAAGTAAATTATAGGGCTTCCTAAAATTTCTGGCCTCAACTCCCCCAGTCTAACAAATAAGCACAGAATAACATCTCTATCCTCAAATGCTTAAATTAACTGACGTCCAGATTAAGATGCCAAAATTTCGGTACCTTTTGAGAAAAGACACCTGCCAGCTAGCCAAAATAGCTCCAAAAGTTTCAGTAACAGTACTGACATGATCAAATACAAAAGTTTAGGCAGGCAGGGTTTGTTTTCTTCTCCCATTGTCTGGAGCTACCTGAGATTCTTAGGCCTCCAAGACATCCTGCAAGCCTAGTGCCTGTAACATAGGAGTTTGCACCTGTCCCTACTAGTGGATGGAGGAGAGGTAAAACACCTCAGGACACTGAAAATGACACTAGACTGCTATGTTTAAACAAATGAATCAAAACTTTATCCCACATACAGATGTTAAAATTTTGTTTTAATCTGCAACAGAATTTTATCCTACATTTTGCTGATCCCAAGTTGAAGGCCTATTCATTATTCCAGGTTCATTACTGCAAAGCGTCTGACTTTTCAGTTTTGATGCCAGCACCAGAAACTGCACATAAAATGTAGTTCAATTAAGTACAAAAGCAGCATTTCTCCCCAAATTTACTTCACATACAGATCACACACAGATTCTGCCATGATTTAAAGACCTTCAGGAAGATCAAACAGAATCACATGCTGTATCAAATCACATATGGCATATATGTGGCATTATACCATATAACATGGTGGCATTTGAGAGAAGACATCCTGGATTCTGGAAGCATGTATACACAGATACACAGGTCCTGCTTGTGGCACACTGACAGTCTGAGAGTCTCCCTGGACTGGTAGGGTTATAGCCACATGGCCCTTCTCATCAGGAAAATGCTCATCCAGAAGAAATATTTAGCTACCATATTACTCTGTATAAAAGATAGGAACACTCACTATTCCTTCAAGTTCTTCAACAATAGTCAAATTTCTACAGCTCTTTTTGCTTTCTTACAAATAGCACACCCTCAACAGAAGAGTAAGCATCCTGTTAAATCTCAGCTGTCCTTTTTTATTTTTCTTTTTCTTTCTTTTTTTTTTTTTTTTCTGTAATTCACAAAATAGAACTTCCATACTTTCATCTTATGGTCTTTTAAGAAATATCTGAACCATCACTGACACAGAACACCAAGCAAAATATTTTTTTGAAGAAGACATAAAAACTAATGCTAGTGTCTTACAAAGTTAAGAACAAGTAAATTCAAGTTTTAATCAATCATAATCTTAAATATGAATGTTGCTATAATTTCATTCTATAAATAAAGCAGACTAGAAGCAGACACATTGCAGAATAGGCCATGTATGATATGGACATAATTTGTAGCCTTCTTCATCTTCTCCAGGTCCCTGATATTATCACAGAATCATAGAATAGTTTGGGTTGGATGGGACAGTAAAGAGCATCTGTTTCCAAACCCCTGTCATGGGAAGGGACACCTTCCACTAAACCAGGCTGCTCAGACCCCCATCCAACCTTGCCTTGAACACTTCCAGGGATGGGACATACACATCATTTGACAAACAGTAATGACTGTTAACAAGACCAGCAAGCTAAAGTAGACCCTGATTCAGCTTCATGACAGCAAAAAATGAAAAAATAAAAATAAAATAAAAAAAAGAGAGAGAAAAGAAGTTAAAAATTATGTTGATAAAGAATTGGTTATAAAGTGGTTTTCTAAAATAATAAAGTAATCCCTTACAATCCCTTACAATTATACTGAATTTTATTTAATGTTCAGTAATACAATATGTGGTCTGTTTATAGGTATTTACCTTACTAAAGAAAAAAGTACTGAAAACGTATTTTTTAATTTGGTCTGTATTTGACTGCATGAATAGTTCTTAGTACTTCAGCTCTGCACACATGAAATACACAAGTCAGTATATGTTTGAATCAGGTCATGATGTCAGTCTTTCCTGGCATACAGCAGTATTGACAATGCTGCATCTTTGTTCTGTGTCCTTTGTTCTGTGAAATAGCCTTAGAGTGAAATTATAGAAGCCTGCTGAAGAAGAAAGCATTATCTTACCGTGGCAGATTGGCACAGGAGAGTCCCACTGGTACATGCCATTTTGGTAGCGCCTGCAGGTGGCATTATTGCGACCAATCATTCTGTACCCGGGTTTGCAATAATAGCGAACTTTGCTTCCAGCAGGACCACCTGTTTTATTTATAATTCCACCATTCCTCAAGGTAGGGTTTAAACTGCAATATGGAGCTAAAACACAAAAAGATAACATTATTAAAAAAAAATCAAATGCACTTAATGTAAAAAAGTTAAGATTATTTATGACATTTAAAAACTTTAAATCAATACTGAGACCTTTTCAGTACTTTTGGAATCCTCAGTGAAGATTCAGACTACTTATAAAGAAACATGAGGTTCAAAAACAAAATTTACAATCAAAACCAGTTTATACTACTGCACATAAGGAAGCTAAAATCACGAAGCATAAAATGTTCAGTAAGTTTGCTCATGCTTAAACATTCTACTTCAAATCTCATAACTTTATAAATACGAAATTATTCTTTGAGTTACACAAAATACAAAACCAATTATAAACCTTTATTAAAAATTTCAGTGCATTTAGACATGTAAGTCAAAGTTTAAATATTTTGTCAAGTATATTAAAAATTTGTAAGACAAATAACAATACACTGATTCTTTAGATACATTTTTTTCAGATTAAAATGCAGTTAATTTTTTGTAAATATTCTCTCAAAGATATTGGCAATTATGTTAACTTTTACTAAAAGAATGTAACTTAACTGACTGGAAGTTCTTAAATGTTAAATTTACACAATGTATGAAGTAAGACAGAATGCAGCTGATTGAGTTTTGAAATTAAAGTAAACCTTGTTAAACTTTTATCCCTACTCTACTAATATTTTTTGCAGAGGGGTTTTCATGACCAACATGGTCCTCGAGGATCTGTGATATATAAATGGAAATTTTTTGATATGTGCTGAGTAAGGAAAAGAAGTACAAAGTTCTTGTGTCAAAAAGTGAATTATAAAGACCATTTTTAAAAATAAGGTTGCAGTATCTGTCTGTAAGGAAAAAATATGGTTACCTGAATTAGACCCAGCCAAGCAGAAGTACAGTATAGCCTGACACAATATATGCAGAGTTGTAACACAAATCTGTTTGTAGACTGCAAATGTAAAATGTAGAATGTTTTATCACTAGATAAAAGCAATATAAAAAAATTACCTGGACTAGCATACTGAAGTGCTAGTCTCTGCACTTGAATTTGAAGCAGGTATGCACAATGTCAAGCTTACTGGGATTATCTTTTCAGAAGCAGCATGGCAGGACCATGGCTTTCTGCAAGTAAGCCTGACTGAACATCCACCACTGAAATAAGCCTATGAACCTTCTTCACAGGGAAGACACTGTTGAGCTCCACTGAGAACTAAGTGTCAATACCAATGAGACTGAGACTGCAACTACTGTTGGAATACTCCCTCCATCATACTGAAATGTGTCTTAGGTATACTGTGATATTCATTTTAACTTCTGTAGACAATCATCCAGTAGAAGTTGTTTTGTTTTGTTTTCACAAGTGCATAACTACAGGCTTTGGTATACAGCTTTCAATATCTAGCTCTATTTTTAAATTTTTATCTCTAACTCATATTTTGTCACTTTACAGTGCACCTATGGCATCAATTACTCCCTAAAGAAGAATGCTTTTGTTCGTTAAACAAGATCATAGAGTTGATTATATTCCTAACTGAAACACTTCCTTTAAATATCTAGATTTAGATCAAAGTCAATATTTCTAAGTAATAACACCCAACATAAGCAGTAAAGTCCAACATAAAAGGTGCTGAAAAACATTGTCTTCTGTTTGAATTATATTATATAGTTCTCAATTAAGCAACATTATTTCTACTCAAAATGTTATTTCTGTATGTTCTTTCACTTGGGGATTATTTGGAAAAAATCCCACAAAATCATAAAGAAAAAAGACCAAAATCAGAATGAAAATTAATAAGCCAAGATGGTCCACTCAAAGAATTGTTTGGATCCATGCTCCGTGTCCTTTATAAGCATGGTGACGCTCACTTGCCTGCCTAAATTACATTAATTATAAAATTGCTCTTTAAAAAGGGGGCTTGACATTTAAAGAAACAAAATAGACATGGCTTTAATTTTCTGTTCAACATATTGAAAAATAAATAAGATTGTTATTGCAAAACAAGCAGGCTAAGACTTCTAAAATCAGCTCCAGCAACTTCTTAAGTGCTATTCAATTTTAAATATCCTAGATCTTAAGAAAAGCAGATGAGTCATAAATAAAATATGCTATTCAGAAAAAAATCCAAATTTATCACATCAGTACTGCAATTCTAGACATAAAATATTTGTCTGTAGCCTGGTAACACTGTATGACAATTCTAACCATATGTTTTTCTGTATAGTACCTTTCATGCCTCCTTTTTTTCTATCTCCTCCTATAACCATTTAATCTGTACTAGTAATTCTGTTATTAAACTGCGAACATTGTTATTCTAACAGTAAATTCTTGCCTAGACATAAAATAGTTTTTTTATATGCATAATAAGATTTTTAGCATAACAGGTTAAACTTTGTGTTCTGATTGCCAGGGTATTTATTGCCATGTATTAGATAATTTAGTTAATTTAGTGGCTAATTAGAACAATATACATGAACCTTCAGAGAGAGAAGCTTTAAAAGGGCATGAAATAGGGGACACTCAGGCTGCTGAATTACACAGAATGATGACAAAAACCTAAAAATTTCCTCAGAAGCCAAAGGGGAAATCTATCAGTCATAATTTTTGCTTATATTGTAACAATTAATAATGCCTTGAGCCCAAAAGCATGGTTTAAACTCTCCAGTGAATCAAGTGGTGTCCAGAGAAGAGTCAAGAAAAAAAAAAAAAAAAAATCTTTTGAACTAAGAAATTTGTAGAAGAAAACAAGAAGGAAGACAAAATAGCAATACCAAACAGAATTTGTTTCAATGTCCCTTTGAAAATACTTAATAAATAAAATTTATTGTTGCAGATATTCTACAGAAAACTATATCGTCCTTTCCCAGATACCTGGATGACTCCTGTATATTTTCTGTTTTCAACCATCTCTTCAACCTACTGTTACTAATGTTTAGTTTTCCAAGGTGAGTGAGTGGCAGCGGCTTCAAGGACCTGTAGGAAATAGGGAAGTGGAGATCTGGGAACCGATGGTCGTCTGCTACTGTGAAATTAAAGGCAGATATTTGAGTGTGAATATAAAATGATGAGATGTGTTTGATGGGATAGGGAGGTTATAACTGGAGAAAAGAGAGAAAGAATACTTGACATAAAGGTGCTGATTTAAGAGCCAAGGGGAAGAATAGTCATGACAGGTTGTGCAAAGAGATGAGAAACAGGAAGGTAGGGACTGGAGACCAGGAGAAAGTGATGAAAAAGAGAGAAAGAAAAGGACTTGGTTAGCCATTAGAAGTGGCACCGAAAGGATTGATGCATCAAAGACTGGGCTTGTTGTCAGAGTAAAATATGATTCAGGGAAAGAAACTGGAAAGAAAAATTTATAAAATCAAATGAAATTGACTAGTGGGAGCCAAGGAAAAAGATCACCGACAGAAGAAAGGAAGGAAGAGGATAAATTAGGGGAGTCTTTGTAAAGAGGAAGCAAGTTAAACTAAGATGGTGAGCTAGATGGGAAAAAAAAGATAAATAAAAGCTTGATAAAAAAAATCTTATGTTTTCTACCAGTAAAAGTAGACTGATTTGTAGGGAGGGGTGGAAAAAAGGCTGGAGGTCAGAAAGAAAGAACACAGCTAGACTGTCTTGGCAGAAGTATTTTGATCATAATAAGTATAAGGTTTGGGACAAAAAAGGTATGATGAATGGGACTACATGAAGTGAGGCAGATTCCTTGATTCCTACAATGAAAAGTTCAGCAGATAGAAGTACAGAAAAGATCCCACCTATCAAAAAGGGGCTGTGGTCCCAGAGTACAAAACTTTATACTTTCATGACTGTTAAGAGTGTTTCTGAAACATTTAATATGCATTTTGTGAGGCAAAACATGTTAGTTTGGATAATTTATGTTTAAAATATTTGTTTAACATAGATCAGATCTTCCACTCTTCCACTCTTTCTTAAGAAATTCTTATTAATGACATTTTAAAGTAGTAGTAGTTGGCTGGTAGTAAGTCAGAAGCCAGAAACAAGGTAAGCAGTGTCTGTAATCCACATCCATGTAAAAGTTCCTCTAAAACTATACTATTTGTGCTGCCAAGGCAGCGTGACGTGTAGAAAAGGCTGATACTCAAAGTAATGTATTATATATAAGCTACAGATAGACAGATAGCATGAAAAGAAAAATCATTTTAGGCAAATTATCTAAAATTTCTGAAGATGGAATTTTATTTTTGAACTCTGAAAAGTACACTTGTTGATACTGTAAAAGAATAGATGAATCTACATACAATCCCCTTCTTAATCTATATTTTAGTAATTTTTAATCTGTTCTTTAAATTGAACTCCCTTCAGAGCCCAGGATGAAGCACATATAATAATTTCTAGGATCAGGAACTGACATATTAAAAGAAGAACCACACACAAAGCAATAAATAAATGTCTTAGGACCTGAAGTGTAAGCAAATACTTGAAGAATGCCAGACTGAAAACTACAGATACTATTAATTGAGTGAAAAATTTGAGCTTAGTAGAAATCCTTACAGTGAACTCACAAAATACTGCAGCCTTGTGTCAAGGACCACTGTGATAAAATACTGTTTTTCTCCTAGCCAGTTTCTGAGAGGAATCTGTTCTGGCATCTCATGAGGGTTAGCAGAAATAGGTGTAATAAAACAGAAGTGCTCTCATCTAGGAATGACAATGTTTTACCATAAAATGTGATAAACTTCCATGACCATTCCAGCAACTGAAGTGTGTGTATACGTATGTGTATATTTGTGTATATATGTGTATATATCTATATCTATATATCTATATCTATATATCTATATCTATATCTATCTATATCTATATCTATATCTATATATCAATATCTATATCTATATCTATATCTATATCTATATATCTATATCTATATCTATACCATCTATATCTACATCTATATCTATCTATATATACATATGCATCTTTACAGTTATAGATTTAATTTACTTTTCCAAATGACATATTGTCCACATTCTTTCAAGACCTCTTAGACAAC